AGAGATGTGTTGTTCCATGAGGGTAGTTGCGAGAGATGTGTTGTTCCATGAGGGTAGTTGCAAGAAATATGTTGTTCCTTGAGGGTAGTTGCCTGCTAGCTCAGCACTTAAAGAGTTTCTAATGCTAAAATTCTGGGTTTGATATCTGCAGTTGGCAGAGCACAGATAGCCCATATAAAGGCACAACTAGATTAAATAGTAAAAGACTGACTTTTGTTAACTGATCTTTAATAATATTTTTTGCTTAACAGTACAATGTAAATTTAAGCAAGAGATAACTTGATACTAACAAGCAGCTTTTTGTACAACATGCATGTGTGTTTTTACCCTCTCAAGATGGGTCATGTATGTGCATTAACCCTCTCAAGATGGGTCATGTGTGTGTATTAACACTCTCCAGATGGATCATGGGTCGTGTGTGTGTGTGTATTAACCCTCTCCATATGGGTCACGGGTCATATGTGTGTGTGTTTGTGTGCAATAACCCTCTCTAGATGGGTCACGGGTCATGTGTGTGCATTAACCCTCTCCAGATGGGTCATGGATCATGTGTGTGTACTAACCCTCTCCAGATGGGTCATGGATCATGTGTGTGTACTAACCCTCTCCAGATGGGTCATGGATCATGTGTGTGTACTAACCCTCTCCAGATGGGTCATGGGTAATATGTGTGTATTAACCCTCTCCAAACGGGTCATGCGTGTGTATTAACCCTCTCCAGACTGGTCATGGGTGTGCATTAACCCTCTCCAGATGGGTCATGTGTGTGTATTAACCCCCTCCAGACGGGTCATGCGTGTGTATTAACTCCTCTCCAGACTGGTCATGGGTGTGCATTAACCCTCTCCAGATGGGTCATGGATCATGTGTGTGCATTAACCCTCTCCAGATGGGTCATGTGTGTGCATTAACCCTCTCCAGATGGGTCATGTGTTGTGTACTAACTCTCTCCAGACGAGTCATGGGTCGTGTGTGTGTGTATTAACCCTCTCCAGATGTGTCATGGGTCATGTGTGTGTATTAAATATAATTGTTTAGTGTGGTGTGAGAAAGTGCTTAACTTTTATTTTTCTCTCTCTTTAGGAATCGCCACAGGAGTTATAAGATCCACTTTAAGTTCTTACCTTACAAAGCTTACAAGACCCATTTTTATTTAAACCCTAATAGAGTTCTCCAGTATATGGAGAAAGTTTTCCTGAAGAAGCTGGTTGTGGCAACCCGTAAGAAGTTACTAGTTATGTCAGATTTCAGGTGAGTCTTTGATTGGTGAATATTCATTATGGAGGTTATATATTCTTTAACCATCATGTAATTTTTTTATCACAACCTATTGTTAACCTGATGTTTGATTTTCTGTGTTTTGCTCGTGCCTCATTCCTGGTGTTTTCAATTTGTTTTCAAATTTCTAAGTTTATTTTATGTGCTTTGATCCTGAGCCAATGAAGGAAAATGAACCAACACAGCAAATTTATGTTTCAATTTATTAAATCATTTTAAAGGTGGTGAAAAAAAAAATGTTTCAAATTTTGTTGGCTAAAAATTAATCATAATAATTAAAACATGTAGACATCTGAGTACAGCCAATCATAATAATTAAAACATGTAGACATTTGAGTACAGCCAATCATAATAATGAAAACATCTAGACTTTTGAGTGCAGCCAATCATAATAATGGAAACATCTAGACTTTTGAGTACAGCCAATCATAATAATGGAAACATGTAGACTTTTGAGTACAGCCAATCATAATAATAGAAACATCTAGACTTTTGAGTACAGCCAATCATAATAATGGAAACATCTAGACTTTTGAGTACAGCCAATCATAATAATGGAAACATCTAGACTTTTGAGTACAGCCAATCATAATAATAGAAACATCTAGACTTTTGAGTACAGCCAATCATAATAATGAAAACATCTATACTTTTGAGTACAGCCAATCATAATAATGAAAACATCTATACTTTTGAGTACAGCCAATCATAATAATAGAAACATCTAGACTTTTGAGTACAGCCAATCATAATAATGAAAACATCTATACTTTTGAGTACAGCCAATCATAATAATGAAACCTCTAGACTTTGAGTACAGCCAATCATAATAATGAAAACATCTAACTTTTGAGTACAGCCAATCATAATAATGAAAACATCTATACTTTTGAGTACAGCCAATCATAATAATGAAAACATCTATACTTTTGAGTACAGCCAATCATAATAATGAAAACATCTAGACTTTTGAGTACAGCCAATCATAATAATGAAAACATCTATTTGGCTTCTAGACTTTTGAGTACGGCAACCAGACGAGAGAAAGGTTCTAAGACAGCTGTGGATGAAGACTCTCAGGGGAATTCTATGGCACCCGAACCCGATGGAGGAGAGGGAGAGAGTTCTGATGAAGGTGAAGGAGATGGTGATACAACATCCACTAAGTTTCGACGACGACATGATCAAGACCTGGAATATGAAGAACCAGAAGAAGAAGAAATGATGAAAGAGGAGGAGTCAGGTAAAGCTGAATTAACTTGTTTGATGTTTTTTGTACATCCTATTGATTGGAACTAATTTTCATTTTGCTACATTGCTACAAACCCAGTAATTCTAACACCCACAGTGATAAATCATGTCTACTTTTTACATCAGACAATGAGGATTTTGAAGGAGAAGAACTAACAGTGAAACAAGAAGAGGATGAAGAAGATGACAGCCAAGAAGCACTTGTAGAAGAGATGGTATCAAAAAAAATAAAACAAGAACGAGAGATTTTGGACACAGTAAAAGCAAAACGTGTTAATGTAAGTACATTCTGTTATTTTTATTGAGTTTGGTAAATTTTTCCTTCAGGATTGTACTACTTGATAATTTTTACACCACATCTAATGAAGGAGAAGTGCACTGAAAATTGCTAAATTTTTAAAGGCTTAACAACCTACGTCAAATATCATCTGAGTACAAAGGTCATAACTAGAAGAGAATTATTTGCTTGACTTCTTTATTTACTGTTCTATGTTTTAGGAAAAATAACTTTAAGAATTTGTTTCAAAATAGTAATAATCTATATACATATATAATGTATAATAATTGAAATACTAGTCGACTAAAACACAGCCAAGACAAGTTACTTTGTACAGACCAAAGGTCAGTTTATCTAATTTGATATGGTGACAGTAGCCGTGTCATTGTAACTTCTGTATTGTTAGCGAGGCCTGGCTGAGAGGTCAATATGATAAAAATAATAAATATATATAAATGTATAATGTTATGAGATTTAAGCTAATTCGTCTAAACAATTATCTTTTCGTGTTCATTCTAGAATGAAAGAGGCATAATTTATATTTATTTCCTAATTTTTATGGTGGTTGTGAGATCGGTCAAATT